AATAGCAAACAATAGAGCACATAGTCAAACCTAAGAAGTAATGATGGATGTGCAAATGATAGTTAGGACCAAGCATCTTGCCTCTTAGCCAAACCAGGCCAATAATTCCTGCAAAGATCCCGATGTAAATGTTGAAAAACTGAATTGTAGAGTAGAGATAATAGAGGTAAGTGAATATAAATCCTATTAGAGAGATGAGGCCAATAAAGAGAGCCCAAAGATACCAAGGCCAATTTTTCATTACGTTCCAATCAAGTGTGAATTGTTGCAAGAATCCAACATCCATATGAGTGAATTGCAGTCCAAGAACGAATCCAGTTGTCCATACGAAATAATTATAGTTGAACACCTCAGTATCAGTGTAAACATAACAATGAGGGGTATTGGGAGTATTGAGGACTTAGGCATGGTTCAATCTTTCAATGGACATAAAAATTTGTTGTAATGGAGCTTGGAGATCGATGTCAGTCATTTCAGGACTCTTTATTGGCTTTCTGTGAGTGGTATCACAATAAGATTTCAAATCATAGTTTTATCTTAGGACAACAATTGCAGAAGCGAAAAACAAAAGTATTGAAACGTAAATAGTGCATTTGAAATCCTTGTAAGTACCATCACTTCCCTTTAAGGGATTCTACCTTTAGTTTTGCAAGTTTGAGATATTTATAAACATGAATCCAGTTATCAACATGATAGAATAGTAAATAAGCTGTTGTAGTGGCAAATACTTAGTATGAACATAATATCTGTAATAGATGTTGTCGAAAGTAACTTGCTATGTATCAACATCTCCCAAATGATGGGCCACAAAGTGAGCTAGTGGGGCCGCCAACCCATAGAAGATGATTGTACATATTACGAAGTATGCTACAAGCTTCCAGTCTGTTGGATCGTCTCTTAATTTCCTTTTGAGAGGGATATTATTAGGTTGGATCTATTATTCCATTGAAGAAAAATTATTATTTGTATAGAAAGAATCAAGCTTTCTTATTTATTAATATCCAATAATAAATTTAATTGAGTTATCAATAGATATTTTGTTGCAATTGTTCAAACCCAATATAAATGCTGAATTACATATTTGGGGTTTTGGGGTTTTGGGG